ACCGGGCTTAATTCCCTCCCCACTCCTCCACATGCAGCCAGCTGGGTGAGCTTGAGTCAGTCACAGTTCTTTCAGAGCTCTCTCACCCCCACCTACCTCACAAGGTGCCTGTTGTGAGGAGAGGAAGGGAAGGTGATTGTAAGCTGCTCTGAGACTTGTTGGGTAGTGAAGGATGGGGTATAAAACCAACCCTTCTTAGTTTTACATCATAAAAGTTATGTTGAAATGAATAGCCTCAGCAGAAGTTGTATTCTCCACCCTGATGTTCAACACCTGCTAAGATTTCTCAAGGAGTTCTAAAAATATAGGCCAAGATTAACCAAAGATTAACCAACATTGGTTACAATGTGATGACCAAAATCCTATACAATCTACATACATGCAGAATGCCTCCAGAATATACATATGCTGCAGGCGACACTCATAAAATGGTGCTGCGTAACAAAGCAAATTTGTGACCAAAATGTAAATGCCAACTAAATTATTCAAAATATGCCATTGCATTTCCAGTTTAACTACCTCAAAACCAGGCCCGTAGCGACAGTGGAGCATCTTGGGGCTAGGCCCCCTGACTTACTGGCTAGGCCCCACAACTTCCCATCTAGCCCAGGGTCCCCAAGTGGCAGCTGGTGCGGGGAAGAAGCCAAATATTCCTTTAATTTGATTAGCCAGTGCCCCCTAATAAATTTAAATGCCCCCCGACTTAAAAAAATTGGGTGGTATTTTACTTTGAGGTGACTGGAACATTCAGTTGTGTATGCTTTGTGTCATCAAGATGCTTCCAATTTATGGTGACCCTATGAATTAATGACTTCCAAAATGTCCTATCATTAAGAGCCTTGCTCAGCAAGAATGAAATGTCCTTGTCACTTGTGACAATTTAGGCAACAGGGTACACTGAGAATCTGTATTTGCCCCCAAGAAACTTAATTCCACTCAAGAAATACTGGAAATATTGTGAAAATTAGCAAAGTAATGTGGATGTGAGTACTGTTTTTGACAAAGTATTATGAGACAAATACAAGACTCAGAGATCTTTCATCTATTTCCCCCCTCAATCCATATTCAAAGGGGGTAATCATTAGGATCTGTTTATTCATTTACTTTATAGCCTACCTTGTGTCTGTTGTGCTTTCTGTAGTAACCGAACATGCCTATCTTAGGTTGCTGGGCCCTGGCCTCACGTGTGCTTGCATGTGTTTGTAGTCTTCCAACTGAGGCTTCATGTATCTGAAGAATTAGGCTCTGTAACAAAAATTTATGGTAGAATGTTAATTTACAAAAAGCTACAAGCCTTTGCTTAGGTAAAATAAATACAACTATCCTGGAAATCAAATGGGTTTTATTCTTGGTATAAGACTAATGTCTGTCCATGCCTAGCATGCTTAGAGGCAGGGAAGGTAAAAAGATAAGTCGTCTTACTTTCTGTAGGGCAGCCTGCCAGAATGGAGGTTCAGGGACCACACTATGCAGTCAGGGGTGGGGGTCAGATTTCTGTTCCACTCCAGCCAGGAAGCGACAACTAGATTTTCAGGCTGGAACCTAGTTAGAGGAGAAATCAGAGGCATGCTCAATCCATTAATAGAATAATTCTCTAGAAATTGCTTTCATCATTGCAGACAAATGTACATATTGATGATGACATCAATACAGTGCTTTGGTGTAATCCCAGATTATCATTTTCAAGACCAACAATTATTAGCATTAAACTGAAACAGTATGTTTACATTTGTTTCAGTCTGTGATGCAATAGAGTTCAGTATGACTGCTTCATCTGTTTTTGACAAAAAGTGGCTGTTGCATGCAGCCCCTCCATACCGATTTCTCCACTTCTGCGTATCCTTATTATAATAAATCTAAATAAATCTTGTGAGATTACTGAGATTACTGTCATGGTGCCTAATGAAGTATTAATGTATCATGGGGTTTCTGAAGTGTTATATTCATGCAAGTGCACTAGAGTAACAATAAGAAAAAGAAGGGTGAAGTATGTACTGTGTTTAAATAGGTAGAGGCATCAATATTTCAGTGAGCCACTGAACGGATGCATTGGTGCAACTGCACAAAAGCAATAGAAGAAAAGGAGGAAGTGGGAACTTTGTGCCTTGATTTAAATAGGCAGCGGGCAGTCCAAGTAGGTCAAGGGGAGGGTGCGTAGAGGAGTCTCCTAGCTATTGCAAAGCAACAGACTTGGAACAGTAGACCACATTACAGAACAAGGGTGGCAACTAGAAGGGAATCATTTTAGTATACTCTATAAAGTTGTACTATTTGCATGTACCAAGCACAGTGAAAGTGAGTAGTGATCTCTGATCAAGTGAAGGATAAGAGTGAAGAGTAGTAACAAATGGGAGAAAACATTTTAAAATGCTCTTGATTATTTGGAAGTGTTGATGGAGTGCATTGTCTATCATGTGGATAGATCCTCAAGGTATACCAAAATCTCTCCCCACCCTAGCATGTGTATCTATGTTTAGCTTCCCCCTTGACCAAGTAATATCCTTGTATTTGCTAAAACTTTTGAGCATCATTCTTATACAATCACTATAAGATCTGTAATGAGTTTGTGGTTAATTCCCTTGTAGATTCAGTGACCAATACATGAATGCATGTTTGCATAATTTAAAAAGATTTTGATCTAAAGCTATCTTACACATGACAATAATCAATATTAAGGTACTCTTCATTTAATATAAACTGAGAAATGGCCATATAAGTACTACTGTATTTTTTCTTGTTCATATATCTTTGGAGGGGGGATATTATCTTTAATCGAATGGCCTGTAATAGGGATTTTCTGGCTACAGCGTGTCTTGTCAAGCAATGCTACTTCCCAAGATAACCTTGTTAGCTACAGTGCAACATGTTGGCTGTACAGTCAGCAACTTTCACATTAAAAGCTCATGGCTCAGCAGTGGACTAGAGAAATGAATTCTACTTCTAACTAGGCTTCTCAGAATTCATATAGGTTTTCCTTTAATGTTTATGCAATACTGTTTGGCTGTTACCCTGAGGGCTGCCAAATAGGGAGGTACCTCAATTTGTCATGCTGTGTAGGGCTGCTAATTTTTTTTAAAGCTGCCTTTATAGTATTCGTCCATCTGCAGGAACACAGTGGCTGAAGTATAAAAAGGACTTGAACTTCCAGTTCCAAAGTTTTTCATCAGTTAGGGAAAGCCATCCATTTATTTGGAGATGTTCTTCATATGTTCCTGAAGTGAGCCCTTGCAATAAAAGTCATTTCAGAAACTGAATATAATAAACTGGATGAGCTTAATTAAAGCCCTGGTTCTTTCTTACCTAAATAAGGTTTGGGTTCCCATTTTATTTGGGTTCACTGAAAACTTTCTTTGATAATAAAATCATTAATTTTTTGATAATTGTTAAGGTGGTATGTTGTCGAAGGCTTTCATGGCTGGAGTTCATTAGTTGTTGTAGATCTTCCAGGCTGTGTGGCTGTGGTCTTGGCACTGTAGTACCTGATGTTTCGCCAGCAGCTGTGACTGGCATCCTCAGAGTAATAACACAGAAAGATGGGAGTACTCTCTGTGTCAATGTGAGAAGAAAAATGGTAGGCCTTAATGGTTTAATGAGAAAGGCAGGCTACAAATTAAGTGATAACTTGGTTGTAGCATATACTTTTACACAAATAGCTCAGTTCTATGCAGAGTTAATCTCAGCCCATGAAGGTCTTGCAGCACTTTAAAAGATGGACAAACTTGTGTGTCACAAGCTTTTATGAGCCAGAGCCTGCTTAGTCACAAAAGCTTATGCCATAATAAATCTTTTAGGTGCTGCAAGACTGTTATTTGGCTGACTAATCCTCTGGACTTTGCTTGCAGAAGGACGCACTTGCAAACCCCAGCCTCTGCCTCTTTAAAAAAGAGAAAGGTATTGGAAAGATCAAAGCAGAGTAGGGGACCAGATGGATCAATGACCTGCTACTATATAAGGCATGTCCATGATACCAGATTCTTAACAGCATCAAACTCTGGAGCCCTGACCTTGTGGTAGTCTATGACCCCAGGTCTCTTCTGTAGAAAGGATCTCGCATATGAAAAAGCCAGAGTCCCTGGAGGGTTGATCTTTGGCAGATTAGCTACATGGACAATAGACTGAGGTGGCATAAGGCGCCTTCCTATGCAGGACCTTTTTTTGCAGCTGAAGTTACTCAGAAGTAAGTCTCACTGAAGTCAGCTGGACATATTCCCAAATAAGTGTACATGTATCCAGCATCAGCGTTGTGAAGGTGGATGACAGCACAGACTTTAAACCCCAGCTTTAAAGACTAGCCGCAGGGGGCTCTATATCTGTGACTATACAGTCACCTTCTACAAAAACATTTGGTATGTAACATGATGCTGGCTGAAAGGCATGGATGGGAACGCACCATATTTTCTTACTGATAAAATGTTGCTGCTTGTGTGGCAAGCAAACACAATTTCCTCACAAAAGACAGGGGAAAGGTCCATTAGTTCCAGTTCCTCGCCAAAGAGATTGAAAGAGAAAATTCTTTGGCGTTCCACGGGTGTCACTTTCTTGTTTTTCATCATAAGGCTACATAAAGAGAGGACACCCTTTCTTCAGCCTATTTGAAACCACCCTTTCTCCGCCCTCTTAATTTCATGCCTAGACTTCTGTTTCACTACGTTTTTGGCGTGCCGCTGCTACTCGCAACGGCGGGCATTGTTTCTCTCGAAGTAGGCGTTTTACGCAAAGCCGCTGTCAAGCCGGCAGTCATGGGCAGACACTACGCCAAATATCTGGCTGAGAGCGGCATTCGCTACGAAGGTGGCGTGAGGGTGCGATGGCAGCGGAGCGCGTCAGGCGCCCCTCCCCCTTATTCGCGATACGGTTTTACTGAGCATAACTGGGCGCAAACCTCGCGCTGGGAGACGCTCTGTAACGGGTGTCCGGTGTGGAAAGGGGCGAGCCATTCCCAGTCCTCATTTACGCAGCTTGCGCAGCGGTGGCTACAGGAGAAGGGCCGGCCCGCGCCTTTCTCCGCCAGCTGCCTCTGCGCCGTTGGCGTAGCATGCTCCAAGATGGCGTCGCGGTCGTTGGCGGCGGTGGCCGGAGCGCTGGTAGCAGCAGCAGCAGCAGCGCCGACGTGGGAAGAACTGAGAGGGGGAATGAGGCGGCGGGCGGCGGGTGGCAGCAGTAGCAGCCAGTAGCGACCACAGAGAGGGGTCTCCCCTCCCTCCCGGCGCGTGAGACAGAGACTCCCCGGGATAGCGGGTCCCCCACCCCCTCAGACAGGGAGACCCCGACCGCTCCCCTCCAGACCGCAGAGCCGCCGACACCCTTCGCTGGGCTCATCCCGTAGCTGCCTCCCGGGTGGGTCTCCCTCCCGCCTCCCCACGGCAGAGAATGATGAAGCTCAAGTCCAACCAGACGCGCACCTACGACGGAGACGGATACAAGAAACGGGCGGCTTGCCTCTGCTTCCGCAACGAAAGCGAGGAAGAGGTGGGTGACTGAAGGAGCAGATCGGCGGGGGGCGGGGGAGGGAGCGGGGACGATGGGCGCTGAGCGGCCAAGAGGAGCGTCCGAAGAGAGGCATAGTAATGGAATACGCGACATGAGAGGGAGAGGGAGGAGGAGGTGTGGCAAATCGGAGGCTCGGGTGCGGGGAATGAAGAGGGGGAGGGAGCTGCGTGGTGTTGAAAGAGACCGAGAGAGAGAGAGAGAGAGGCGAGGGGAGGAGCTTGGGAGGGTGGGGATTCCTGGAGGATTAGTAGGGCGAAGAGGAAGGGGATTTAAGAATGGGCGCATGCGCCTATTCTGCAGAAACCGTATACCTTAGTAACGAAGATCTGTAACAGCTAGGCGAGAATTAACTCGACGCCTCTCGTTAACACCTGTTCGTAAATTATTCGGGGGCGGGAGTTACAGTATAAAGAGAGTGATTGCTCTCTACTTTATTGGAAGAAGGCACACCGTCCGTGCTTTCTCGTATGATTGGGAAGCGTGTGTGAGGTAGATAGTCTCGTAATACAATTCTAACTATGGCTTACTCAGACGTAGAGTCCACTTTTTCAGCGGGGTCGTTGCTTCCAAGTAAGTATGGGTGAGATTGTTGGCTGCTTCTCCTGTGTGACTGTTTCTCCTGGAGTGACTGTAAACAGGGGCTAAATGGGGAAGAGCTAAATTTGTACCGATTAGATCGGTTCTTGAGTCTTCATAAGTATTAGAAATTAATTTCTCAAGAGAAATACGGGTAGGTGGTGAAAGAATTTACTGGCAGGGAAAGGGAAAACGGATGTGCTAATCAGCGTTTAATGAGTAAGAGGTAAAATGGTAAAGTGAAGATTGATGGTGTTGATCAGGATAGCAGTAAAGAATGTAAAGTACTTAGTTTTCAGGAAGCTGGTTTTTAAAAGTAATGTTGCTTAAAAAACACCCTGCAGTGTCTCCTTAAGTATGTGGAGAAATAAGAATTGCCTATGTAAATGCCACCTTGTATGTGGGTGGGAAGGAAGTAGGAATCTGTCCTTTTGCTTATAGAATGTTGTTAGAGTCATACATGGTGCTGACATATAGAATACATAATGTCTAACAGTATCAGCCAGCTTCCTGTCTCCATCCTTAGTCAGAGGCATGAGCAAGCAGAATCTACTTTGTAACAGTTTAGAATATAAAAGCATCACCTTTTGCGTTTTTCTCATTTTTGGTAGTCTTTAAGGGAGTAGGTGTGGATACACTTGAGAGTCAGCTTTCCTGGGACTTCTGAGATAATGTATATAAGGTTTGGCTGAAAAATAACTGAATTCAGTGTAGGAATAGCTCTCCCAAAGTATAATTGAGAAAATAAGAGTCTTCAGTATAGCCCTGGAAAAACACACAGAATGAAAGATTTACAACAATGAAGGGTGATATGAACTGGTATGGCATGGCATGGAATTTGGCAGAGGCCTACTGCTGCTATGCTCAGTTAAGCACATCATATGACCTGGCAGAAAGAAATTTGATTCTGGGTGTATAAAAAGAAACTGGGATAAAAGGGACAGATTCCTGCCAGAAATTGCCATTAGAAGAATTGGGGTGGAGTTAGATTAGTTCATCCTGTCTGCTCATTGGAACTTGTTTGTATAAATATAGTAGTTCCTTTTAATATAGCTTTTATTATGGTATCTGGAGTGCTAAGTTATAAAACAAGCCAAAAGAGAGTCTTCATAAAGACAGTGTGCCTAAGCAATTTATCAAGAATAAATTTCAAAGGGGAAGTCTTGCTAGTCTTTTGCAGCAAAAACATAAAGGAATATTGTCTTTAAATGTTGCAAGTTTCCTTTATGTTTTTATTTAGAATACATTTTTTATTTAGAATACATTTAGAATTTTTTATTTAGAATACATTTCATTAAAAACAATATTTACATAGTTCATGTAAAACCCTGAATACTCTTTCTCATTGATCCTTACAAAAACTTTTTGAAGTAGGTCAGGTATCACTATACCTATGTTGCAGATGTGGGGCTAAGAGTTGGAAGGGACCTCCAGGGTCATCTAGTCAAACCCCACACAATGCATGAAATTTACAAATACCTCCCCTTCCACACCCACGGTGACAGCTGCTCCACACCCAGAAGATGACAAAAACCCTCCAAAATCCCTGGCCAAACTGGCCTGGAAAAAATTGCTTCCTGACCCCAAAGTCAGTTTGGTGTAAGTGGTTAAGTGCGCGGGCTCTAATCTGGGAGAACCGGGTTTGATTCCCCACTCCACTTGCACCTGGCTGGATGACCTTAGGCAAGCCAAAATTCTAGCACAGCTGTTCTTGAAAAAGAACACTTTCTGTCAGAGTTCTCTCAGCCCCACCTACCTCACAGGGTGTCTGTTGTGGGGAGGGGAAGGGAAAGGAGTTTGTAAGCCACTCTGAGACACCTTTGGGTAGTGAAGGGCGGGGTATAAATCCAATCTCTTCTTCAAAGTGGTAATTAGCATTTCCCTGGGCATGTAAAAAAGGGCCACAAGAACTAAGCACTGCTGCAACCCTTCCTGCCCTCCCTCTCATGATCTGTCTAAGTTCACACAATTAGCATTGCTGTCAGATGGCCATCTAGCTACTGTTAAAAACCTCCAAAGAAGGAGAGCCCACTAACTCATGAGGAAATCTGTTCCACTGAGGAACCGCTCTAACTATCAGGAAGTTCTTCCTAATGTTTAGCCAAAAACTCTTCTAATTTAATTTCAACCCATTGGTTCTGGTCCAACCTTTTGGGGCAACAGAAAATAAGTCTGCATCATCCTCTATATGACAGCCCTTCAAGTACTTGAAGATGGTAATCATGTCACCTCTCAGTTGTCTTCTCTCCAGGCTAAATATACCCAGCTCCTTCAACCTTTCCTCATAGGACTTGGTCTCCAGACCCCTCATCATCTTTGTTGCCCTCTTCTGGACACATTCCAGGTTGTCTATATCCTTAAATTGTGGTGCCCAAAACTGAACACAATACTGTAGGTGAGGTCTAACCAGAGCAGAGTAAAGTGGTACCATCACTTTGCATGATCTGGACACTATACTTCTGTTGATACAGCCCAAAATCGCATTTGCCTTTTTAGCTACCGCATCACACTGCTGACTCATGTTCAGTGTATGGTCTACTAAGGCCCCTGCCACACGGGGGGGGGGGACACGGGCAAAGTGTAGCTTTTTAAAGCCGCACCAAAAGAGACACACGGCGGCGGGATCACATAGGTCCCCTGAGTTGCCGCGCACTTCGGGGGGAAGCCACCGACAGGGAAGCGAGGTAGCCGAACTGCGCACGTGTGAGCATGCGCAGTTTGGCCGGGAGCCGGGATTACTACGAACGAAGAGCGCCCCGGCGATCCCACAGCCGCACTTGATGCGGCGTCCCAGGTAAGTCCTCCTCTGGGGGTGGTTCTTTTTTACAGCGCGTTATTGGCCTGAAGGGACGGATCGGGGATGGGTGCGAGCGGATTTCCAGATGTTGCAATATGCTCGCACCCGTTTGCTGCGCCCCTGATCCGTCCCTCTCCCGGGCCAAAATCTCCCGTGTGACTGGGGCCAATGACCCCAGATCCTTTTTGCACATACTACTGCCAAGATAAGTCTCCCCAACCTATAATTATGCCTTTGATTTTTCCTACCTAAATTTACATTTATCCCCATTGAAATTCATTTTATTTGTTTTAGCCCAGTTTTCCAGCCTGTCTAGATCATCCTGTATCCTCTTCTACCATATTTGCTACCCCTCCCAATTTAGTATAATCTGCAAATTTAATAAGCATTCCCTCTGTCCATTCATCCAAATCATTGATAAAGATGTTGAACAAAACAGGTCCCAGGACAGATCCTTGAGGCACTCCACTTGTCACTCCTCTCCAAGAAGATGAGGAACCATTCACAAGCACTCTTTGGGAGTGATCTGTCAACCAGTTACAGATCCACCTAACAGTCATAGGATCCAAACCACATTTTACCAATTTGTCAACAAGAATTTTATGTGGAATCTTATCAAAAGCCATCCTGAAATCAAGATAAACTATGTCTACAGCATTCTCCCGATCCAGCAAGGTAGCAACTTTCTAAAAAAAGAGAGATGAGGTTAATCTGACATGACTCATTCTTGAGAAACCCGTGCTGGCTTTTGGTAATCACAGCCGTCCTTTCTAAATGCTCAAGGACTGTCTGTCTGATGATTTGTTCTAAAACTTTCCCAGGTACAGACGTCAAGCTGACAGGTTGGTAGTTACTCAGATCCTCCTTTTTCGCCTTCTTGAAGATGGGGACAACATTTGCCCGCCTCCAATCTTCTGGCACCTTGCCTGTTCTCCAAGAATTCTCAAAAATAATGGACAGAGGCTCAGAAATTACATCTACAAGTTCTTTTAGTACCCTTGGATGCAGTTCATCTGGCCCTGAGGACTTAGTTTCATTTAAAGAAACTAGGTGTTTCTTTAATGCCAATCCTAGGCTGCAACTCCCTTCCCTCATCATGTGCTGTTTTTGTCATGTTGAGCACTGTTTCCCTTGCAAGAGAAGACTGAGGGAAAGTAGGAATTGAGCAGTTCCGCCCTCTCTTCATCGCCTGTTACAATTTCACTTTCCTATCTCTGCAATGGGCCTACTATGTCCTTGCTCTTTGTCTTACTTTGAACTTTCTTTCTCATAGGAATCATTTGTGATTGTGCCGTCAGTATTTCACTTTTAAGAAACTCCCATCCCTCTTGAACTCCCTTCTCCTTAAGTATTTCTCACTACGGGATTCTACCTAGCATAAATTTAAGTTTGTCAACATTTGCTCTCCTGAACTCCAACCTATGTGTCTGACTATGTACAGCTTTTACTTTCCCCAAGATTGTAAATTCCAAAATTCCATGGTCACTACTACCCAGGGTGCCCACTACTTTCACCTTGTCAACCAGTTCTTCCCTGTTGGTAAGAATCAAGTCCAAGATAGCAGATCCCCTTGTTTCCCTCTCCACTTTCTGGAAAATGAAGTTGT